GGTAAAGAGGGCAGGATCAGGTATGTGAGGAGACAGGAATGATATACAGAGGATCAGAAATTTGAACAGAGGTGTGTAGCAATGGGAGATGGGGAGCTAGAGGTAGTCACCAGCAAGTCCCAGATGCCAGGAAAGCAAGAGGCTCCCGGTACTCAACAGGGATGAGATTAGCTGAAATGCCCAACTAAGGGGAGGAAGAACCTGTAGAGACCATATCCAGAGGTTAGGCAAGGCCCCCTGTTGGGAGATGGGGTCACCCACTCATCTCCAAATTTTTAACCCTTATTTTCTCCTGTCTAATGGAAATACAGAGACAAAGTGTGGAGCAGAGACTGAAGGAAAGGCCATCCAGAGACTGCCCCACCTGGGGATCCATTCCATATACAGACACTAAACCCAGACACTATTGTGGATGCCAAGAAGTGCTTGCTGACAGGAGCCTGATATAGCTGTCTCCTGAGAGGCTCTGCCAGAGCCTGACAAATACAGAGGCAGATGCTCACAGCCAACCATTGGATTGGGTCCCCAATGGAGGAGTTAGAGAAAAGACTGAAAAAGCTGAAGGGGTTTGCAACCTTCTTGTTAGTAAGAATAACAATATCAACCAGCCAGACCCCCCAGAGCTCCCAGGAACTAAACCACCAACCAAGGAGTACACATGGGGGGACCTATGGCTCTGGCTACATATGTATCAGAGGATGGCCTTGTCAGACTTCAATAGGAGGAGAGGCCCTTGGTTCTGTGAAGGCTCGATGTCCCAGTGTAGGGGAATGCGAGGGAGGGGAGGCAGGAGTGGGTGGGTAAGCATCTTCATAGAAGCAGGGGGAGTGGGGATGGGATAGGGGATTTCGGAGGGGAACCAGGAAAAGGGATAACATTTGAAATGTAAATAAATAAACTATCCAATCAAAAAGGAAAACATACATTTCCAGTGGAGCATGAGCCCGGAGTGAAAAGCGGCACCGTGCTACACAAACACAGGGGCTTTCCCGTCTGACACACAGCACACGCTTCACGGCTCATTTGCATAACTGAGCTTTCATCAGTATGTTCTATGTTGAAGCTGTCACTTATAGTTAGTTCTAAATGAGATGTCTTGCAACTTGTTTCTCATTAGCATTTTAAATCTCCTCCCAAAGATGTGGATTTTAATGTAACAAGCTCCAGGTCAATACAATGTAGCACCTTTGCACCTGCCCCAGTGGCTCCAGCCAAGTCTAGTCAGCCTTAGCTCATGATTTCCAGCCTTCCTGTTTGCAAAGAAGCGTCTCTCATGGGCTGATTTTGCAGCCTTTGTGTGTAAGGCTTTCTGGACCTTACTCTCTGCCTCATTCTCTTGCCTTAATTACTCCCTCCAGTCCAGAAGAAGAAAAAGATGAGTTGTATTGTATAGATTCTTTAATTTTTTATGCAATTAATTATTACCACCCACTGAGAGCCAAATTCATGATCATTACCGACATTTAAAAGGCAAATAAGATAGGTGAATTTACTATTCATTGAAGTGTCTTCTGTGGGGTTTTGGTTGGGGACTGAAGGCAGAGGAACAGACTCAGGAAAGAGAGCAGCAATTTCAATGTAAATATTTGGAAGAGAAAACAACAAAACGAAGGAGAGATGGCAGTACCTGCATACTGAAGTCAGGTAAAGAGTTTGGGTTTTCCTACAAGACTTGATTTTTGAGTCAGAAGACATTAGAAATTTATATAAAACATCATATTTTAGCCTCTCAGTTACATTGTACATTGTTCAGGCTTTTGTGAAGTAAGTTTCTTTTCTTCTTATAGTGTTCTATGGTGACAATTAATTTGGAAGTTCAGATGATGAGAAAGACATCATACAAACTGCATGACTTGAGCTATCCCAACAGCAACCCAGGGGACATTTGTACTATCATCAAACTGGAATGCTGGTCACACACACACACAGACTCCTGGTAATTCTGCTAATGTCTTATCTGCTTTACAAGATTCATGAAACCTTCCAGTCCATGACAGACAACATCATGCTAGAGGTGAACAGCTCTGAGAATAAGCTGGGTCTTTGTGGTGGAAGGGAGCCTATTATAATCTTAAGTCATTCTGTTAATCTTTGGACCTTGTGTACTTATTTAACTGCTGTTTTAACTTTATCTCCTTTTATCCACTGTCAGTTCACAGTCAGATGGACCTGTCATCTTGTGACTCCATCTCTGTGGGTTTCCTTAGTCATCTCCTAATTCCAGAAAATCTACAAGAGTGGGAACCGCAAGGACCACTCAGCATCCTCACACTCACTCAGCATCTTCACACTCACCCAGCATCCTCACACTCACTCAGCATCCCCACACTCACTCAGCATCCTCACACTCACTCAGCATCCTCACACTCACCCAGCATCTTCACACTCACCCAGCATCCCCACACTCACTCAGCATCCCCACACTCACTCAGCATCCTCACACTCACTCAGCATCCTCACACTCACTCAGCATCCTCACACTCGCTCAGCATCCTCACACTCGCTCAGCATCCTCACACTCGCTCAGCATCCTCACACTCGCTCAGCATCCTCACACTCAGCATCCTCACACTCACTCAGCATCCTCA